GGACACAGTGCTTTGCCTGAACAGGATTGCATTGTATGAACACCCATTCGATCCGGTTCCAGTGCGAACAAAAAAAAAATGCCGGCACCTTTTTCATGCGGGCGATTTGATCCATATAAAATGAATGGTCTCAAATCTCACCGCACAGAATCGCATGTGATTGGCTTAGGAATGCAGTGTGCTTCTTGTGCGGATCACATGCAGTGTGCTGTGTGAACCTAGACTCTCTCTCCTCTCTGAACAATGGCCACCAATGTCACCACCGCATGTGCACTGCGAATGGATGGCAGACTCGAGTGTGCCATCCATATAGAGTGGTGTGCCGCGATCGGGACTCCTGCGTATGCGTGGGAGTGACATCATTGCAGTCCTGGCCATTTAAATGGCTGGAGGGTGTGTGAACCTGGAAGGAAGACCGAGTGAAGATGGAACCCCTGTCAGTGGTGACAGCCCGCTGCTGAAGGTATGTGGCGCACACTTGCACCTTATGACTTTAACCTGCAGGGGAGACTTTACTGACACTTTATCCAATGACAAGGTAGCTGTCAAACCAATAGGCCCATAGTAGAAATATCACATTGGTCTACTCCATAGAGGGCTGTACGGGGGGGGGGGAATAAAAAAGAACTACCACACCAGATGAGAGCACTCACCTACACCGGGGCCCAATGCTCCACCAACTCACCATCTCATCCACTGAATACGAGTGATGACTGCGGAGAAAAACTTCAGTTATTTGTAATAATACACCGACGTCTTCCCTTCCATAACGTGATAAACACACGCTGTGACATTGACATTGCCCCTTCTCTTTCTGTATGTGGATGATGGCTCTGTAATTATTTTAATAAAAAAATAAAATAAAAATAATAATAATATTTTTTTTTTTAAAAAATACATTTTTCCTAATGGATATACAGCTGTCAGGTGACCCAGCTCATTCCCAGCCTGGAGGAAGAGGAGCTTTTAGTCCTCTTCTGCTGGTCACATGTTCAAAATGGAAAAAACAAACAGTCTTTGGGATTAAGAGTACAAATACATATCAATAAATGGTTTTATATACGTGTATATATACATACATACATATACACACACAATATATATATTATTATACAGGATTTATATAGCACCAACAGTTTGCTCAGCGCTGTACATTACAATGGGAGACAGAACATGCGACAGTACAGTAACAATACAATTCGATACATGAGGGGTTTGAGGGCCCTGCTCCTTGGAGCTTACAATCTAGGAGGGAGGGGATAGTGGTACAGGAGGAGATAGCTGTGGGGGATGGAGTGGTAGGAAGAGTGGGGGAGATCGGCAATTAGCTGAGGGCGGGGTAGGCTTCCCTGAAGAGATGGGTTTTCAGAGTGCACCTAAAGGTGAGGAGGGTAGGTGACAGTCTGATGGATTGGGGTAGGGAGTTCCAGAGGATAGGGGAAGCCCTGGAGAAGTCCCGGAGACAGGCATGGGAGGTACGTGTTGGGTGGTATTTGAATAACAGGTTGGTGATGTAATTTGGGGCAGTATTATGAATGGCTTTGTACGTCAATGTTAGCATTTTGAATTTTATCTGTTGGGCTATCGGAAGCCAGTGGAGGGATTGGCAGAGGGGGGTGGCGGATACGGAGCGGTTGGTAAGGTGGATGAGTCTGGCCACAGTGTTCAGGATAGACTGAAGCGGGGATAGACTGAAGCGGGGATAGCCTGCGGCGAGGCAGGCCAGTGAGGAGGGAGTTACAATAGTCGAGTCGTGATATGATGAGGGAGTGGATGAGTTGCTTAGTGGTTTCCGGGGTTAGGAACGGGCGTAGTTTGGAGATGTTGCGGAGGTGAAGTCTACATGAGTTTGTCAGCGATTGGACCTGGGGCTGGAAAGGCAGATTGGAGTCTAGGATGACACTTAGTACTCTGGCTTGCGGGGTGGGACTGATGGTGGCATTGCTGGTCGTGATGGAGAAGTGGGGGGGGGGGGGGGGGGTGCTGGGGGGAAAACTAGGAGCTCGGTTTTAGAAAGGTTTAATTACTTAATTAAGGTTTAATTAATATACATACATACATACATACATCACACACACATATATATATATATATTATTTGGAAGCAAATCTTTATTATTTTGTAGAAATAAAATGGCGTGGGAAGATTTCTGCCAGTAACAGGCTGTGTCACGCTCCTCTAGCCTGTGTCTGCAAATAAAAAGGGAGTTGAAGCCTCCATCAATCAAGATGTAATATCCCCACCCCCATTGTGTGTAGCTGGTTAGTGGGCATGGAGGAGGAGGAGGAGGGAGAGTGGGCTGTCATTAACCACTGTGTATACGCTCACATGTCCGACTCTATAGTCACATGGGCTGCTCAGATGGGATAGGGAAGGAAATGCTCAGCATAGAAACTCACTGAAAACTGAGCATGTGCAGAGTTGCCTCTACAGCTGCAACATCTCTAGCTGATTTGGGGGCATGAACAGAAGGGGGAGATAGAGAGCAGCAGAATCAACCATCGATATTCTGAAGAAAAAAAAAAATAATCCCAAAAAACACAACATAAAGAAAAACTCCGACAGCGACTCGAGAAATTGATGCAACTCGGTAAATTTTTATTGCAACTGGAAGACAAAAACATCACAGAAACGTGTTTTATGGTAGATCCGGGAGGGGGAAGTGTTATATTTACAATAATTCCATGAAACTGTTTCTTTGGCAGTATGATTACACATCGAGAAAATGTGAAATGCAGAAAAAGGATGCGTAAAAAAAAAAAAATAAAAAAAAAATCAACAATTGTACTTCCGCCCACCGGCTGCGCGGCCGCTCGCGCCACTCACGTCCGACTGCTTCACCCCGAAACGGAAACCACAGTCACAGTTAAATCGAGTTCAGGACATTGGCAGCTACACACAAAGTACAGAAAAAAAAATATATTGCATTTTTTTCCCACTGCACATTTTTTTTTTCTTGGCCCGTCTGGGTGCGACCACCCGACAACGTATTAAATTTTATATTTTTAAATTAACCCTTTTCCCTGCGCGGGGAGCCCCAGAACAAGAAAGCTGCAGCGCAACGCCGCCTCGGCCCTCCGCCAATGCGCAGAGTCCATTTGCTGTGGGGTTCTTCGGCAGGGAAAAGGTTAACCAGAACACTTTTTTTTCTTTTTTTTTTTTCGAAACGATTCATCACTTAACAAAATAAAATATATTTTCTTAGAAATGTTACAGAATCCATAAAAAAAAAAACAAAAAACAAACGAAAAAAATCTACAAGTTTTAAAATGTTTTTCATAATAAAGACACACATTATTTTTTTTTTTTCACAAACAGTTTGTTTATATCAGAACATGGCGGAGTAGCGAGCGTGGTTGGGCGGGGGTCGTTGGAACGTATTTTTTTTTTTTTTTTTATGGCAAATTGCAGGAGGAATAAAGCGGGAATGCAGCAATCTACAGAGCGCCCATGTAGCGGCAGTAATGAGAGTTAATGCTAGGCCGGATGCAGGAATTTCTCCTATTATAGGAAGGCAACTTTTTATTTTTTTTGCATGGACCGCCCATTTCCTCCCAACACCACCACCCCCCCCCCCCCCCCCATCACCAAAATGAATGCCAAATTGGGAAGGGAGACTCTGATTCTAAGACATGGCATCATCAGGACAGACGTCCAAGATGTGAGAAGGTCCTGGAAAAGCTGCATTTTTTTTTTACCTCTTCATTGTTTCCCCCATATCAGTGCTGCTGATCTCCTGCAGCCTCTGGACCAGCTTCCTGATGGTGACAACAGTGGACCATGTCTGAACAATATGTGTCAAACAGTGTTTGCACTATTCCTCCCACTGACACCAATGATGGGGCATTATTCCTCACACTGACACCAATGATGGGGCTCTATTCCTCCCACTGATACCAATGATGGGGCACTATTCCTCCCACTGATACCAATGATGGGGCACTATTCCTCCCACTGACACCAATGATGGGGCATATTCTCCCACTGACACCAATGATGGGGCTCTAATCCTCCCACTGATACCAATGATGGGGCACTATTCCTCCCCTGATACCAATGATGGGGCACTATTCCTCCCACTGACACCAATGATGGGGCTCTAATCCTCCCACTGACACCAATGATGGGGAACTATTACTCCTACTGACGCCAACAATGTGGCACTATTAATCTCACTGATACCAATGATGGGCCACTATTCCTTCCACTAATATCAATGATTGGAGAAAATTCTCCTCCACAAATACTAGGGTATTTTCTAATTCCACTTACCACCTAAAGTCCGAAGGGCAGTAAACTGGCCCTTTGTGCTCCTACATTGTCACCCTATCACAGGGGTCTCCAAACTTAACAATTAGGAGACAGGGACAAACCTGCCCCGGCTTGTTACACAGAAAATAGAGGGGCGGAGAGCCCTGTGCAATGCAATGAGGCCTACGATTGGCTCACTGATTGGCTTTCCTGCTGTGCAGAGGAAAGCTGGTATATAGATCAATGTACTTATATTAGCTGCATTTCAAATGCATTTTTTTTTTCTGGATTTCTTCTGAATTAAACAGATGTATACCTGCATGGAGTTCAGCTTTAACTTCTAGAAACGGTCAATAAGAGTTGAGATCTGATATTCATTGGGGAGAAGGATGGCAAAACCCGGAACCCCTCCAAAAAGAATAGACTCCAGCAGTGCACCCAGACCCAGTGATTGCTCTATAGCAGACATTCTCAAGCTTTTTAACCCAGAGGAACCCTTAAAAACAGGTTTCAGGTCTCAGGGAAATCCAGCTAAAATCAATTTATTAGGGGTCAGTGAGAAGAATGTTCCTTACATTGGGGGTCATTGGGAAGAATGTCCTACCATTGGAGATCAGTGGGAAGAATGCTCCTTACATTGGGGGGGCCATTGGGAAAAAAGTTCTACCATTGGAGATCACTGAGAAGAATGTTCCTTACATTGGGGGACATTGTGAAGAATATCCTACCATTGGAGATCAGTGAGAAGAATGTTACTTACACGGGGGGCCACTGGGAAGAATGTCCTACCACTGGAGATCAGTGGGAAGAATGGTCCTTACATTGGGGCCATGGGAAGAATGTCCTACCATTGGAGATCAGTGGGAAGAATGCTCCTTACATTGGGAGCCATTGGGAAGAAGGTCCCCTACCATTGGAGATCAGTGGGAAGAACGCTCCTTACATTGGGGGCCATTGGGAAGAATGTCCTACCCTTGGAGGTCAGTGGGAAGAATGTTCCTTACATTGTGGGACATTGTGAAGAATATCCTACCATTGGAGATCAGTGAGAAGAATGTTCCTTACATGGGGGGTCATTGGGAAGAATGTCCTACCATTGGAGATCAGTGGGAAGAACGCTCCTTACATTGGGGGCCATTGGGAAGAATGTCCTACCCTTGGAGGTCAGTGGGAAGAATGCTCCTTACATTGGGGGCCATTGGGAAGAATGTTCCTTGCATTGGGGGCCATTGGGAAGAATGTCCTACCATTGGGGGCCATTGGGAAGAATGTCCTACCATTGGGGGCCATTGGGAAGAATGTCCTACCACTGGAGATCAGTGGGAAGAACGCTCCTTACAGTCAGTAGGATGAAGCACCTTACATTCATGGTTAGCGAGAAAATGCTTCTTACATTGGTGGTCAGTGGAGGATTGCTCCTTAGATTGGTGGTTTTTGGAAGAATGCTCCTTACATTGATGGTCAAATAGAAGAATCACCTAGCACTGGCGGTCAATAGGAAGAATGTTCCTTACATTGGTGGCCAGACAGCTAAAAAGATCATTGGTGTCTTGGCATTGGCCCTGGTACTATAATGGCGCCCCGTGAGATGGGAGGTTAATCAGCTGCAGCTCATGGACCCTCTAGACACCTCTGGAGGAACCCTAGTTGAGAATGGCTGCTCTGCAGCCAACTTAGGAGGATCATTTCCGCTTCTTGGACTAGCCTAACCGATAGAGCTGTAAGCATGTATTTTGAGGAAGCAGTGCTGGCACGGGGACCCATCACATCGGGATGTTGGCAGTGATTAAAATTCTGTTTTCAGAAACATAAAATGTAAACAAAAACATTCATCGAATCCAAGTAAACGCAGCGGCCAGGAAGCAGCAACATGGTACGAGAAGAGAATTTTCGCTTTGGGATTTACAAGTTAATAAACAGCAGCAACATTTGGAGTGCCCTTTATGTATCCGCCCCAAATTTTGGCAGTATTTGGATTTTTTTTGTATTTATCTGCACTAATTCAAGGTGGCAAGGTAGTATGAGGGCCATGCGTGACTCCTGCTGCAAGCAGCATGCCAGGTCACCTTCCTGGGGGGTCACCACTCACAATCCCCTACTAGGCAGTATGAGGGCCACTGGTGAGTATCTGGGAGCAGCACATTAGATCAGTACCAATGCCAGGTCCCCTGGCAGGGCTGTGTTAATGCATGGGTACTGCCCAGAAGCCCCAAGTGCATGGGGGCCCATAATAATCTTGCATTACATCATACTTGCCAACTGTCCCGGATTTGCTGGGACAGTTACATTTTTTTACTAAGCTGTCCCAGGCAGTGTTCCCAGAACCTGTACTGTGCGCCCTCCTGATCCCCCCTGTACTGTGCCATCCTGATCCCCTCTGTACTGTACCCTCCTGATCCCCCCCAGCATTGTGCCCTCCTGACTCTAACCCCCCCCCCCCCCTGTACTGTGCTTTTGCCTGCCCCATCCTCATCCCTCATATTGTGCCCTTTGTGTTGATTAGTCTTTGATTTATGGCTTGTTTTCTTATTTTTTAAAAAATCAATATTATTGAAAGTACTAATAAACACGTTTAATTCTCTCAGCTATTTCTACTTTGCTCAGGGGCCCATGATACCGTTAGGATGGCCCTGCTCCCTGGAGGGTCACTACCCACAATCCTTTGCATTCCAATGTAGGATCAAGCAGAAGACTGCATGAAAGAGCCAATGTGCTCAGGGGGTAGAACTTTTCCCTTCACCAGGGCTAGAACAGTACAAAAAGAGGATATAATAAGTCGATCATCACATCAAACATATCACAAAAAGCAATCAATACATGAACCACAATCAATGCATAAAGGAATGATCATTAAGGAGTTTACTGACCGTCATGCATTATTATATCTTTTATTGTTTATTTATTGATTGCATTTTATATATTTTCAGTGTTATATCAGACACTAGGCTTATTTAGAAATCACCTTTTTATTACAGCCCTGAAAAAAAAAAAAAGAGGGGTTTTAGCCCCCTGATACGCGTTGGCTTCAACTTGATCTTACACTAGAATACATTTATATCTGGACTATTATCCCATGGAGTCCATCTTTTTTATTTGCATCAGAAACCAAAGAAACAGTGGAGATCCTTTGCCATGAAGAAGGGGCCAGCCAAGAATCCAGACACCCGTCCTGACACCCCTACAGCAGACACATCATCAGGATCCTCCTAGGGTTCCAGCATTGTATATTCAACCCTCCCTATTCACAAT